GGTTTGTTTAGAGACCACACTGATATGAATTAGGAATTGGGGGTATGGTACTAAATAGCTAATAAGGGCCCTGAAAGAATTATGTGCTATCAGGAACCACAGCTGCATCTGGCCAAATTTTAAGAGTTTTTCTCAATAGAGAGTTACAAAATCTACTGGAAAGGTCCAGTATTAATATCTATCTGGAGACTGTTGCAAACAAACAGCTCTTTAGTTCTTGGTTAGAACAGAGAACATGGAGCCAGATTTCTGGCCCTTAAGAAATATGGTGTCTGATTCTATTTGGCAGGCAGTTTAATCTGGTATGGAATTTTAGCCAGATTTCTTGGAGAAATATTTTTTTTAATGTATCATATCCAAAATTTATTGCAAAAAGTGATGTCCATTTAACCTATCCTATTAATAGTCACTTAAATACTTTGTAAATATTCACAGTGCTGTTTTCAGCAGCACGTAGTACGCATTTGACCTTTTATTTACTGAATTTGTAGCCATAAACTTTTATGCAAAATTGGGGGAAATTCATTGTAGTCTGCTGTTTATTTAAATTGCAGGCTGAGAAGCGGTAAGTGCTACAGTTTTCTACCAAACAGCAGTTATGTTTTCTTTTTCTTTTAAGATTTTATTTATTTATTTGAGAAAGAGAGAATGAGAGACAGAGAGCACGAGAGGGAAGAGGGTCAGAGGGAGAAGCAGACTCCCTGCTGAGCAGGGAGCCCGATGCAGGACTGGATCCCGGGACTCCAGGATCATGACCTGAGCCGAAGGCAGTTGCTCAACCAACTGAGCCACCCAGGTGCCCTGTTTTCTTTTTCTTTGTAAAATATTGTGTAATTTACCTTTTAGAATATAGCAACTTCTGAGTGTGCAGAACACTCTAACATTAGACACTTCATTTGAACAGAAATATAAAGAAAAGAAGTTCAGTTGTGAAGATACAACAGTATAAGGACAAGACTGACCTAGGCGAGCGGACAAGAGCCTTCAGCTTGGCAAAGTGATGCCCAAGGGCAGGGTGTGACAACAGTTCACACAGGTTTGAGAGACCAATGAAAGGGAGGGGTTATTTTGCCTAGTTATTAGAACTAATGGGAAGAACTTTATAAAAGGGGAATTTCAGACTAAAAATCAGTTGAACTTCCTGACAATAAAAACTGGTCAAGAGTGGACTGAAAGGGGTGCCTGGGTGGCTCCATCATTAAGCGTCTGCCTTTGGCTCAGGTCCTGGGATGGAGCCCCGCATCGGGCTCCCTGCTCAGTGGGAAGCCCGCTTCTCCCTCTCCCACTCCCTCTGCTTGTGTTCCCTCTCTAGCTGTCTCTCTCTCTGTCAAATAAATAAATAAAATCTTAAAAAAAAAACAAACAGTGGACTAAAAGCTCCAACACAGAGATGTTCCTGAACCAGGCTGGCGAAACAGGGCACCTGTGAAAGATGTGCCTTAACAGTGGCTAGAAGAGCATCTGAATGGCAGAAAATACTTCATTGACAGCCACTCTCTTGAGGATTTCTCCTTTTGCCATTTATCAAAATCCTCTTTTCTTCTCTGTCAGAAAGAAGACTTTTTTTTTAATACTTGCTTATAACTTGACTTGTTTCCGTGACTTACCAGATATCTTTGGAAGAAATAGAAAGAAATGAGTACTGAAAGCTTTTCAGTTTTCATCGTGTGAAAGCGGCCCGAGTCTGTTTGTTTTTGTCTTTTCTGAAGTCCCCATTTTTACTTAGCTGAAGACAGTAGAACCTTAAGGCCATGGCAGGTGCAGTGTAGGTGACCACTCTCCCTGAAGTTGGAACCTGAGTGTGAATTCTGACTCAAGCACTCACCTATGGCAGCTGCATTGTAGGTGACCACTCTCCCTGAAGTTGGAACCTGAGTGTGAATTCTGACTCAAGCACTCATTAGCTGGCCACCTGAGCAAGTTACTTATCCTCCCTGAGCATCAGTTTCCTAAAACAGGGCAGCAATAATACAATCAGGCTTGTTGTGGAAGATTAAGTGAAATGATGTATGGGAAAATGCTGTTGTACCATGTACTGGTTTTAGTTACTAATGCTTGTATTAGTTTTCTATTGCTGCTGTAACAAATTACCATAAACGTAGTGGCTTGCCTCCACGTAAATCCATTATCTCATAGTTCTGCTTGGAAGTCTGGGTGGGTTTGGCTGGTTTCTCTGCTCCAGGTCTCTTGAGGCTGAAGTCAAGGCGTTGGCTGCCCTGAGCTCTTATCTGGAAGCTCAAGGGGAGAATCTGCTTCCATGCTCACTCCGGGTGTTGGCAGAATTCAGTAACATGCTGCTGTGGGACTGAAGTCTCCATATGCTTGCTGGCAGCCTGGGGTTCTCAACTCGTAGAGGCTGCCTGCATTTCCCTCTTCTTTAACACTAGTGGAGTCCTCATGTTTCACACCTCTCTGATCTCCCCTTCGGCCTCATCTCTCCTGTCTCCAGCCAGACAATGTTCTGTGTTTTCAAGAGCTCATGTGATTAGGTTAGGCTTACCGGATAATCCAAGATAATCTCCCTATTTTAAAGTCCATAACCTTAATTATATCTGCAAAGTCCCTTTTGCTACATAATGTAGCATTCACAGGCTCTAGCGATTAGGGTGTGGTTATCTTTGGGGCTTCATTCTGCCTACTACAGTCATGGTATTTTAGGGCTGGAAAGGGCCCTTGCATAACATGAAGTGAGGTTCTTGCCCGGGAGGGTTTACAATCCAATGGGGGAAAGAGAAGAAAAACATAAAGCAAAAAAGTCCAATAATAAAAGAGTTTCTATGGGATGTTCAAGGAGCCCAGAAGACCTTCTCTGTATCTGATTTGGCCTGTGGTTCTTCCATCATACCCTGCTTGTTCTTTGATGTTTTGTTTTTTAACAAGATCCTTCAATCCATATACACAAAACACCATGTGATTTGATCTCTGTCCCGAAAACAAGCTGCTGCCAGAGCTCAGTATTTGGGACTCTGCTACTTAATAAGGAAAGGTCTTGAGCTCTCAGCTCAAAGTAAGAGGAATTATTTTCTTCTCCAATGATGAAGGTATAACAACACCTTATCTCCCCTTCTTCCTCATCAACCTCCCATGAGAGCCCTCTTGTCTTTCACTCCTCGTTCTCTGGTCACGTGTATGTCTTTACTCCCCTCTTTTGAGTTTTCTTGTTTCTCATTGTTTTGAATTAGAAGGTGCTACCCTGGATAATGCAGAGATTTCTGGTTAATTCTTGCCACTTGTCATTTCTATTTAACAATGTTTCATAGATGCTTAGGCCTCGGTGACAGTTTGGCAGTAATAACAGCTGCCATTTATTGAACACTTACCATGTGCCAGGGGCTGTGAGGAGTTATGTACCTCCATTTTCTCATTTACTTCCAATTTCTTTTAATTTAGACAATCTGTGAGGCGTGGGTACTATTCATATCTCCCTTTGAACCCAGCTGGGATTTGGACCCAAATCTAAGTCCAAAGCTTGTACTTGACACCAGGCACTAAATTAATATTAAACAGGAGCTGAAAATAAGGCATGAAGGAACCAAAGCAGCACAAGTGGATTGGGAACCCTCAATTTGAAACTCAACTCTTTACAGCTATTGGGAAAGTTAGAGGATTTCCTTCTAGAGCACCAGGATCACCTCCATTTTCCACCAGAGACACTCAAAGTGATTCCTCCATATTCTGTTTCAGACAGGTGATTTTAGTGTGTGTGTCGACAGCACCCAACAGCTACAGAGTATGTGTGGACACCGGCTTGGCATTCCACAGAAAAGCCTATTTCTCTGGGGGTGAGGTGGGAGAGATGTGGGGTGTGCCCTGTGGCTGGCCCCAGCAGTTACAGGTAACAGAAAATACCTTCCCCTCAGGATTGGAATGATTCAGATATTTAAGGATTTCACACAGCACTTAGTAGGTATTCAGTATGTGCTGGTTCACATTGTCCTTCTAGAAGATTTTTAGTTCATGGGTATTCAAGTCAGTAGAATCTTGTTCTAGCTCCACTTGAATCTAGGCTCAATGTTGAGAAGACAGGAGATACATCTCTGGGTTGGCCCCTGTCCAGTCCTGTGAATCATACCAGCTCTCAAGTTTGAGCTCAGAGAGAACTGAAATCTGAGGCCAAAGAAGGCAAAATATTTCCCTTTCTCATTCTTGCTGTTTTTGAGTTATTGATGTAATGGAAACAGACAGCTCTGGGTTCAAATCCAGGCTCTGCATTTGCCTTCTCAAGTTACTTGAGAAGTTTCCATCATGGAAAGAACTTGGGCTGTTTCCATCATGGAAAGAACTTGGGCTGTGGGGAAGGAGGGTGAACCTGGCCATTTTATTCAGTTAATCACTTTTCCTTTGTCAGGTGATCTCCTTACCTGTGAATGGGGCCAACCGCCATCCTCTCGCAGGGTTGTGAAGCTTAGAGAGTAATGTATGTGGTACAATCAGGACGCAGCAGCAGAAGCCCATGATAGATCCTTTACATGAGCCATTCATTCATTCATTCAGGGCACTGGCAATTTAAGTTGAGCAAGTGGTCCCAAGTTTGAGTTATTTATCCTTCTCCTTGTCCAGTAGGAGGGCAGCCAGGTAAGGTAGCTGTTGGGTGCCCTTGCCCACAGGCCAGAGCAGGTATGGGGAGAGTCTTGTAGAGGCAGCGGAGGTGCCAAGTACCACCTAAACCCAGCCCCACCGCGGTCTACCGCCAAAGCCCCTGGCGCCAGTGTTGCTTCAGCTGCTAGTAGTTAATGCTCCTTAACTTGGAAACATTTTCAGCTCCTGGGAGCAATATGGTGCCGCGAGGGCTCACTGCCCAACCCCCTTGTCTCCCGGCGACTGAGATCCGCATGCACCCTAGTCCCAGTCCAATTTACAGTCCTTCAAGGCCCAGGAGGCTCTGGGCCCAGGGTCAACGTGGGCGTTGTCGGGGGGGGGGTTTGTCGGGGAGGGCGGGGAGCTTTTCCGGGAAGGGGCCCGGCAGGGTCTTGGCTGGCGGCCCCGTTAGCCACGGCCCAGGACCCCAGGGTGGGAGAGTGAACGGAAGGGTACTCGTGCCTGGAGCGGTTGCAGAATCCTCAGTCATGAGGAAGAAACTGGGCTCAGAGGCACTTGGGTGAAGGGGCCCTCTCCCCTGCCCTCCTTTCAGGTGCTGGGGCCTAAAGGGGGTCCAGTTCCCCTGCGGAAGGCGGGAACTAGGAAGCGTTGCGGTCTAGACACCCCGCCTTCCCAGCCTCTTGGTGGGGGTGGGGGGGCGTGGTACGGTGGCCCCGCCGGGGCGGAGAGGGGGAGAGGAGTCGGTGTGGGGGCTCTGCCTCCCCGGGAAGGGGGGCCCGGCCAAGTCCACGCGGGGAGGGGGCAGGCCCTCTCCCCTCCCCCGCGCCTGTGGGGACCCTACGCCTGTGTCCGGAGGAGGCCGGCGTCCAGCAGATGCACGCGGTGTGGAGGTGGGGCGGGGGAGAGGCGGGGAGGAGAAAACCCACAACAAAACTTGCGTCGCCGAGCTCACGGCTCGACTTGAATGGAAGGAGCCCGCGCCCGCGGAGCGCAGCGGAGACTCGGGACAGCGCGGACGGCCGGCGAGGCGCGGCGCGGCGCAGGGGCGCAGCAGGTACCCGGCGCGGGTAGCCGGGTGGGCCAAGGGGTCGGAGCCGAGCCTGGGCGGCGTACTCGGACGTCCCCGCGGGGTCCGGACGGCTCCCGCAGCTACCCCGGGCGGGGCCGCCCGCGCTCGCCCCCTTGGTGGGAGCGGTGCACCGAGTGCGCGGCCGAGAGCTCCACCTTGGGCGTGCAACCCCCTCCGCGATCGCGACCCCGGCAGGGGCCTTTTCTCCTCGCCGGCCAGAAGCTGGTCGCGGCCCCCCCCTGCTGCGCACATCTGGAAAGAATCTGAGGGCGGATGGGAGGGGGGAGTGGAAGGACGTGGGCGGGCGACCGGGAATGTGGGGGCAGGTGGAACTGGGGAGGGGCGTGGACCCCTGGACTTAGAGACGCGCGTCTTTCTACGTCAGCTCACCCCGGCTAGTTCACCCTTCAACCTGGTTACGGACAGAGAAACTGAGTCCTAGAGCGGGGCCGAGGTGTGCTTCCGGGAAGCGCGGACAGGTGTGGCGGAGCCCGCGCTACCACCGCTCGGACCCGCTCGCGGCTTGGATCCCCAGCCCCGCGCCGCGCACTCGGCGAGCCAGAGCTCTCAGCTGGCACCTGGTGTCCGTCTGTCTGTCTGCGCGGCTGCCTCCCCGGGGGGACAGCTGGACTGAGGAAGGGTGGGGGGGGCGCGGAGCGCGAGAAGCGAGGTCGGCGCCTTCCCTCCGAAGCGGCGGAAGTCCCAGGTTGTTGGTCCTTGAACCGCCGGGCTGGGGCGGGGGCGGGGGCTTTAGAATCCCTGAGGAGCCGCCAGGTGGAAGAGGAGGCGGCGGCGGCGGCGGCCGGCTCCCGGCAGGGCAGCCGCTGGGTCTCCGGGTGCGAGGCAGCTGCAGCCGGAACTTAAGGAGAGGAGCGGGCGCCGCAAGAGGGTGCGAGCGGCTCTGACAGCCCCTGAGCCCCAAGGCACAGAGGGATGCGCGCCTGGCACTTGGAGCGCATCAAGGATCCGTTGAGGCCCCCCGCAACCTGAATGGCTGCCCGTGCACTTTGGGCCGGCGGGGAAACGTGAGGCTGTGGTCTAGCGGCTCCAGGAGGCACCACTGCTACGAACCGCGAGAGCCCCTGGGTGCTCATGTCCCCTTTTAGGGCCCACGGCCCAGTCTGCTCGAGCCTCGAGTGCAAGTTAAGGAATGTTAGATTCACGTGACTGTTTTCACGAAATCTTGTGGGAACATACTCTGTTCTTTCTATCTGAATCTTAGGGGATGGGTGACTAATGGTGGCACTTCTAGGCCTGTAGAGTCATACATAAGACCTCTGACCATGACCTGACTGGTACCGTTGATGGCTCCCTATCACCAGCACCTTAGCATAGTGGCTGATACCCTTGGAGGCTTGGACCTCCAGCCCTAAGCTCCTCCCCTGCCTCATCCTGTTTACCTTTCTTTAAAGGCACCTCCCCCTTCCCCCATCCTTACACTGTGCCTTTGCTCATGCCCTTCCCTCTGTCTGGAGTACTTTTCCTCCCCTTTGTACCCCTGGAGAGCTCCTACTCAGCCTTCAAGAGCAGTTCAAGGCTCTGGGCAGGAGTCAGAAGACACAAATTCTAGTCCTGGTCTTAACTTCAACATACTATATTGTAAACTGAGGAGGTCAGACCAGATAACATTGCAAATCTCTTCTGCCTTTCACAATTTCATTTCTTCATTCAGCAAACATTTCCTGAGCACCTGCTCCATGCCTGGGGAGTCAGGAAAGGCTTTGCTGAATCTTGCAGGATGCAGTGGACCAGGGGTGCTGTGGGAGCACTAAAGAACCTCCTAACCCAGTCAGGGGAGAGCAGCAGCTACCCAGAGCAGGGACATTTGAGTAGCAGTTTGCTGGGGATGGGCAACCATGGGAGCCCCTTTGTGCTTGAGTTTCTTATCTGCAGAGTAGGAAGACTGTTTTTTAGTTTGGAAATTTCTATTAGAGATGGTAAGATGCAGCTGTCTGGGGCCCAGCACAAAGTGGGTGATTAGTGAATTTTTACAGTATTTGAGTGGAGAAGGAAGGTGCTGCTAGGGGCTGAGGATCTGTGTCCTGATTTGGGTCTCCCTTCCCTTTCCTTCTTCTAGTCTTGCCTTAATCCCCCACTTAAGCCCTTCTGGGCCTTGAGGTTTGGTTCCCCAGGGGTGGTAGGTGGGGTGAGAGGCAGCAGGTCCCAGGGACTTCCTCAGTAACAGTAACACCGTGTGTGTCGCACTTGATGCCAACATCAGATGGACATGTCATTCCATTTCATCCTCATGAGGGTTGCCCAGACTAGTAAACAGAGGCTCGGGCGGTGGAGTGACTTGTCCAGACTCACACAGCAGTCAGCAGTTGAACCATGTCCTCCTGTGGCTAAAGTGCTCGCCCTGAGAAAGAGCTCACTGCAGGCTGAGCTGCTCCTCTCACTGGCCATTTGCTGTCCCAGCGTGTGAGTTGTTCCTCACTGGGGGGCTCCTCACTCGGGATGTATAGAGACCAGGGACTTGCTCTCCTCTGTTCTTCCACACGCGGCTCCCAGCGTGGCTGAGCACACAGAAGGGGCTTTAGGGGCTAATCTTGCTCAACATTCTTAGAAGAAGAACAACAACAACAACAAATTGAGACTCAAATGGGCCATGACGTGGCCAAGGTCACACAGAAAACCAGGTGGTGGAGCTGAGACTGCCCAGGATCCTAAGGTCCAGAGGAGGAGATGGGAGCTTCCAAGCCTGGTCTGTTCTTCCTGCCTCTCCTGTGAATCCAGCTCCTCTTCTCCATCCAGCACCTCTCTCTGCCCAGACCAGGCCAACTACCCCTCGCCTGTACCATTGCACAGCCTCGGAGAGCTCCCCACTGGTCCATCCATAAACCCACCTATGCCACACTCCTGCTCTGCAGTGGCTCCTCATCTTTCTTAGGATCGTAAGATAAGGATCACTCTCCCTAACCTGGCTTCCAAGTCCCTTCTTGGCCTGGACTGCCCACCTGCATCCCTCCCAGTCCCCAACACCCAGCAGACACTCTAGCGAGCTTTGTTGAGGTCACAGATGGGCTCTCTTGCACCTGCTGACCTCCTTGCTTATGTCAGCTTTTCCCTTTTGACCGATATTCGTCCTTCATGGCTAGATCAGGCATCGCTTCTTCAGAGAAGCCTTCTTGACCCCAGGCATGGTTAGCTCTCCTCTGGCCCCCTATGGACTCTAGCTTCCCTCCATCATACCTCTGATAACACTGGGATTATAATATTCCGTGTATACCTGGCGTCAGTGCCGGCACTGCCCAATAGAAATAGAATGTGAGCCATAGTGCAAGCCACATATGTAATGTGAAGCCACACTAAAAAAATAAAATGAAACAGGTAAAATTAATTTTAGTAATTTATTTTATTTAAGTCAACTGAATATAAAAATAAATATTTTATGAGATATTAATATTAATAATGAGCTATTTTACATCCTTTTTTGTACTAGTCTTTGGAATCCATGTGCACTACATTTTACATTTTAAGGCACCTCTCAATTTAGACTAGCCCCATTTTGAGTGCTCAGTAGCCACATGTGGCCACCACATTGGACAGGGCAGGTATGAGCTGCTTAAGGGCGGGAGCCAAACTTGAGTGGTCTGCCCGGGTCCTTAGTGCCCAGCTGTGCTTGGCCCAGGGAAGGGCCCAGGCTGGACTCAGCTTCACCACTTACCAGCTGTGTCACATTGGCCAATCCATTGCTAGCTCCCTCATCTATAAAGTGACGGTGATAGCATTTTCAATATGGTTCCTAACATTAATATAAATTATTTTTACAGATACAGTGTAGATCTTTACAGATACAAATTAAAGGGGAGGGAGGAAAACTAGCTGGTCCAGTGAGTGCACAAGATATGTGGGAAGGATCCTTCTCCTTGGCCGCCTGCCCTGATTGATTTGGGGTTTGGGCCTGTGCCCACACTCCCCCTCCCAGAGCCCTGGTCTGGGATCACACAGACAGGCAGGGAGGGGCACTCTGGTCTAATGCTGGTGGTTCCAGGGGCTGCAGGCTGTTGAGCCAGTCAGGGGTGGCGGGGGGAGGGTTATAATGTGCATGGGAGTGATGGGCTGTAGACGGGTTGAGGATTAATGGCTCATTTGGTCAGGGGATGGGGCAGCAGGGGTGTGATAGGGTGGGCCTAGGGCCAGGCTGCCACAAGTTACTTGCTGCTGCCAACTGATCCCTGGGGCCCAGGAGCTATGTGTGTGCTAGGCTCCCTGGTTTTCTACCCGGCCAGGGGCTGGGGCCAGAGTCTGCTTAGGCCTCCTAGACCTACATGGATTCTAACAAGCCTGGATGCTGCCCCTCTTCTCCATCCTCACACCTTCCTCTGGGGCCTCAAAGGGCTCACCCAGTCTGGGGTGGAGGGTGGGGCAGGAGTTATTGTACTGGGCTCTGCTGCCCCCTCAGACTGAGGGCGGGGAAATTTGCCACCTCTCTTGTGTCCCCTGTGCCAGCACAGGGCTGAGGGCAGGCGGGACCTCACCTTGGAGAGCTGGCTGAGCCAGCGAGTGGGACAAAGCAGTGTCTGGAACGTCGCAACGGCCACAGCGCAGCCGGAATTCATGCAAAAGGCTGGAGTCTGCAAATCTGGGGGGCGGTGGGCCTGGGGCTGGGCTGCAAACACAAGCAGGATTTGGACAAGAGAAGGGGAGGAAGCAGGGGGCTCTGGAGTGGGCAATGCCCATGGATATTAGTGGTAGGAAGAGCTAACATTTATTGAGCACTTACGGTGTGCAGTATGTGCCTCTCTCTGACTCTCACGGTCTCACCGTGAGGGCAGCTCTGGTAACCTCTATGGACAGGTGAGGAAGACAAGGTTTAGTGGGTGACAAAACTGAGAGCCAGAACTGACTGCAGCCCCAGTCTGGCTCCCCCCGCCTTCCTTCCTAACCAGACATCGGCTGCGGTGGCCAGCTCCCAGGTTCTCCAGGCCCAGCATCTCAGACCTCTCTAGCTGCTGTGTGGGCTGTGGTCCCCAATCTAGTGCCAGGGCAACCGCGTCAGACTGAGGCATGCCCCCCCGCCCTGCAAGTGCTTGCCATACACCTGCATTTGTAATTGCTGTAGCAGTCATGGCCACACCCCATCATCTAGGAGGGGCCACATGCCGACTCCTCGCAGACGCTGTGGTTTTGGATGTATCGTCTGCGTTGTAAGATGGGGAAATTGGCTCAGGGAGGTCAGAGCCACTCAGTGCTGGAAGGGGACTCAAACTGGGGTCTGTGGGACTCTAGAGTCAGTGCACCTGAGCTGTGGCCTGTCACAACTTAGCATTCCCCAGAGATGTTTGTTAAGTGAGTTTCTGTAAAGACAACTCCAGGGTCCAGCCCCCTGGAGCCAAAGTAGGCCCCTGCGCTGCCTAGAAGATGGGACCCCTGCATCTTCCTCATGGCCTGAGGCCATCCCCAGTCCCCCACTCCTGCTACCCTAGGGGGCCATGCTGGGGAGTGGTCTCTTGCAGGTAGCCCCAGTCATGTGAGCACAGCAGGCCCCAGTGAGGGTGTAAACATCAGGAAGAAGGGACTGGGAAGGTCCATTCACCGGAGGCCTGCTCTGTGCCGGCCCTGTGCTGGGCCTCCACCCAGACCCTGAGGGTGGCTCACGGCCCTCTATGGGAGAAGGACCCCTTCCCGTATTCACAGCCCGACCCAACTCACACCCCGCCCTAGGGAACACAGGAAGGGAGAGCCCTGGGGCAGCTCAACGCTGACCTTGGTTCTTAGAGAAGTTGCTGACTGCACAAGAGAGGGGGAGGGCATTCCAGGCAGAAGGAACAGCATGTGCAAAGGCCTGGAGAGAGGATCTACTAGGTAGACCTGTATACCTGGGGTGGGGGTATTGGAAGACAGATGGGGTCAAGTCCGGAACATCCTAGAATGGCAAGCTGAAGAGCCGGGATGCACCCTGCTGGTGCTGGCCCGCATGGCCCTGTGGCTCTGGAGGAGGCACAGAGCCTCCCGTCCTGCCTGTGCCAGGGCAGCAAGAGCTCCGCAAAGTCCCAGCCAAGCCCTGCAAGTCACAGTTCATCCCGGGCCTCAGCTTCCTCATCTGTGCAGTGGGAGTACAGGTTCCTTGGGGCCACGCCGGGTAAGGGTGGCTGACTTGCCTCCAGAGGGCAGCCCTGATGACAGGGAGGCGGGTGGAGAAGGGAGGGGTGGCAATCGGTAGATCAGATGCGTGCCCAGGACCCCAGGAGGGCCCCGTCCTGACTTGTGTGGGCCCTTGCCCTGTGTCTGCTGTACCCGCAGGTACCATGGCCCAGAGCAGGGTACTGCTGCTCGTCTTGTTGCTGCCACCGCAGCTGCAGCTGGGACCGGTGGGCACAGCGAGGTCTCCGGGGTTTGGCCGAAGTGGTACCCACAGCCTGAGCCCTGCTGAGAATGAATTTGTGGAGGAGGGGCCGGTGTTGGTGCTGAGACCCGAGGAGCCAGGGCCTGGCCCTGTCACCATCAACTGCCCCCGAGACTGTGCCTGTTCCCAGGAGGGCGTTGTGGACTGCGGTGGCATTGACCTGCGCGAGTTCCCGGGGGACCTGCCTGAGCACACCAACCACCTGTCCCTGCAGGTGATGCGGGCATCACAACAACGGTCATGGTGCTGCCCCCTACACTCGTGGCTCCTGTCCCCGACCCCCACAGCCCCCGGCTCATCCAGAACCCCCAGAACTTGTGGCTCCCCAACCCCAGACACAGGGTGCTAGGGCTGTCCCCGCTCTGACGCCCGGGTCGCAGAGTACCATGCTATTACAACTGCTTTGTTTTGCTTGGGGGAGTCCAGGCTGAGACCCCCAAGGAGAGTCAGACCCTGTGAGAAATGGACATGGATCCGCCTGGCAGCTGACCCTCTGAATGGACAGGATGCCCCAGACACCATTTCAGGCCAGGAAGATAAGAGAAATTAGACCCGGATAGAGTGCTCTGGGGGCTCAGAGGATGGAGTACTCTCTCCAGCTGGGGTACAGGCTAGGTTTTGAGAAGTGGGACACAGTGTTCCAAACAGGGGACTCTGGGAGTGCTGGTGCACCCATGACCAGTTTTGTGTGGCCCAGGAGACCTGGGGGAGCGGGAGGCTGTTGTACCCATTCCCAGAGGTCAAGCCTAGTGAAGGAAAGGGACCGGCCCACGGTCACCCAAGCTGATGCGTCCACGTTGTTGGTGGAGGGAGTCCAAGGCCAGGGTAACCTGTGAGGGAAAGGGACAAGTTAAAGTAACACTCATTGTTGGTTCATTCACTCATTTATTCATAAAATGTCTCCTGGGTACCTGCTCTGCACCTCTGGTGCTGGGTCAGGTGCTGGGCATGGTGGGAGGACTTGGACAGTCTGTGGGGGAGACAGAGATCTAAACAGGTAAAGGTCATGGATGGAGACAGAGGACTAGTGCAGCAGGGCCCAGAGCAGCTCCTAATCCAGGCCCCAATCCAATTCAGGAAGGCTTCTGGAGGAGGTGGTAAAGCATTCCAAAAGGAGTGAGGACCACAGGTTTTTCCCCCTCAAAAAAGGGAACCCAAAGTAGTTTCTGGCTTGGGGTGGGGAGAATGGGCTGGGATGCCTGTCACCAAGTAGGAACATGAAAGGAGCAGGTCTAGAGGGGAGATGCACTCCAAGTTTGAACTGTCTATAGATGCCCATGTATGGGTTCCCAGAAGGTGGGACCTGCATGTCTGTTGTGGTCACTGCTGGGCCTCCCATGCTCAGACCCAGGCCTGGCCCAGCCCCAGGTCTGTCTGCATGGGTGTGAACCCCAAGGGAGGTGCCCAACTGAGGGACTGGCTCCTGGGACTGGGGTGGGGGTGAGCCTCTACTGAGGCAGGAGCCCTGGGCCTCTAGTGAGGCCTCCTCACCACCCCTGTCCCCTAACCCCCAGAACAACCAGCTGGAGAAGATCTACCCCCGGGAGCTCTCCAGGTTGCATCGGCTGGAAACTCTGAACCTCCAGAATAATCGCCTGACTTCCCGAGGTGAGGGATCCCCCAGAGCCCGGGCTGGGGACACCAGGCGGGGCACTGGTGCCCATGGGAAGAGCTCTGCCCCGGACCCTGGGATATGGAAAACAGCAGGGCTGGGCTGGCAGCAAGGCCCCATGGGCAACGGGCTCCCTGAGGTTGCCTGAGACCCGCCCCCCCACCCCCCACCCCCAGGTGTGCCTGAGAGCTGGGTCGGGTCGGGACAGGCTTCAGAGAAGCTTTGATTCCCAGGGCCTTTGTCAGAGCTCGTAGGTAGATTCACAGAAGGCCTTTAGAATCAAAGAGCTATAGAATCCTCCATTTGTAAAAGATTATTTTTTTCTGATATGAAAATAATTTATGATTATAATAGAAAATTTGGAAATGTAGAAAATGAAATGGAAAAGAAAAAACCCACTCATAATTCTGCCACACACATCAGTATTGATGTTTTCGTATATCTCTTTCCACTTTTTAAAAAACCACTTTATTGGGCGCCTGGGTGGCTCAGTTGGTTAAGCGACTGCCTTTGGCTCAGGTCATGATCCTGGAGTCTCCGGATCGAGTCCCACATCGGGCTCCCTGCTCAGCAGGGAGTTTGCTTCTCCCTCTGACCCTCTTCCCTCTCATGCTCTCTGTCTCTCATTCTCTCTCTCTCAAATAAATAAATAAAATCTTTAAAAATAAATAAAAATAAATAAAAATAAAAAAATAAAAAACCACTTTATTGAGGTCTAACTTATATACTGTAATGTTTACCCAATGTAAAAGTACAATTTGATGAGTTTTGAGAAGTTTATACAGTTGAACAACCCTCCCCATAGTCCAATCTAGGCTTTTTTTTCTTTGTGTTTTTTAATTCATAGCTGAGCTTATAGGGTAGATGCAATAACTACTATAACTGCTTTGTTGCTCCTAGCAGTTAACACAGAAGCATCCTTCATGGTGCTGAGCACTCTCGGTGGCCATCATTCTACCCAGCGGCAGCAGGGTAGTCCCCGGAGGGACGCTGCGCAGTTTATGTAACTGTTCCCTCTCCTTAGATACTTGGCTGAGTCCCAGCACTTGAAGGGCTGGGAGCCTGGAACTGAGTGTCAGAGGCCGGCCTAAGGACTGGAGAAGGGCCAGTTTGGCTGGCCTCCCAGCGACAGCCAAGTCCTGACATCACATCTGCCAGCTTGGGACGGGGCTGGGCCAGGTGGTGGGGAGGTGTAGGGACCCCTGCCCCGCCCTGCCCTGCGGCTGGGTATGAGGAGGGTCTCTGACACCTGAGGGGAGCACGCCTTCCTGGTGGGGAAGGGTGGGGCTGGGTCCTCTGGCCTGTGGCCTGAGCTGACAAAGACCCATTCCTGCCAGGGTGGCCCCGAGCAGGTGAAGGACTGGTCATTTCTGAGCCCTTTCCGCCTGCTCCTCTGAGCCGGGGCCCCTGTGAGCAAGGGAAAAGAAGAGGGGGCTGGGCAGGCCTGCTGGGACTGGTTGGGAAGGGGTCAGAGCCCAACCTGTCTCAAGGGGGGGCCCTCCCCAGTCCTGGCCAGTGCGGGGGTTGGTGGTGGTGTGCTCCCCTGTAGCATCTCCTTCATCCAGGGCTCTGACTGATGCCTGTCCTTTGAAGGGCTCCCAGAGGAGGCTTTTGAACATCTGACCAACCTCAATTACCTGTACTTGGCCAATAACAAGGTAAGGGGCCCCCTGGTGTCTGGGGCTGAGCTCAGGGAACTTTCACTAGGGCCTTTGTGAGGGTGGCCGCTGGGTCCCCCTTGCTGCTCAGATATGGTCCTGGTAGGACCCCACACTTTAATGCAGGGCATCAGAGTGGCCAGATAATGAAAACAGAGGCCCAGGCCTTACGGAAGTGTAGGGGGTGACGGCTCATCCCCACTAACGAGGGGGTACTTGGAGCGCTTCTTGGAGGAGGTGTCATTTGAGCAGGGCCATGAAGGGTAACAGGATTTCGGCCAGGGGCCCTAAGGCAAGGCACTGCTGAAGAGACAGCAGGAGAAAAGGCACAAAGGCACTCAACTTCAAAACAGTTGGTGTGTCCCAGGGCTCTGTCTTGGCCCCTTCTCTCTGAGCTCTCTCGAGGTGACCCATCCCCTCCCCGGGCTTTGGCACCCATCTGTATCATGGCCACATGCAATGGCCATCCCCAGCCCTTTCTACTCCTCCCACTCAAGACTCAAATCTGAGTCTGAGCCACAAATCCAGGGTGCGTTGCTCACCCACGCCCAGTCCCACCATGAGCCCTCGGCTCCCCTCCGGCCCTGGTCCACCAGCCCTGACCTGGATGGCCTTGCTTCCTCATTCGCTGTTCCTTCTCCTCAGAGCAGCCAGAGGGACCCTTAAAAATCACGCCTGCTCCTACCCCGCCATCCCTCCTTCTCCGGTTCGAACACTCCCGAGCCTTCACTTTCCACCCGGAGTGAAAGCCACGCTTCTCCCCGTGGCCTGTGGTCAGAGGGCCTGTGTGTGGGCCTCACAACTCCCGCTCCCCCTCACTGCCTCTGCTCCAGCCCCCGAACCTGGCAGCCCCCAAGCAGGGCCTGCCCTCGCTGCCCCTGCCGCCACAGGTGCTCTTCCCTCAGATGGCATTAGCGGTGCCTTCATGCCTTAAGTGTCCCCTGCGCACCCAACTCAGTTGTTCTGTCTTCGGTCTGTTCTAACATGTTACCACTCTCCGATACTTTTGTTCCTTGTTCCTTGTCTTCTCCACTAAGATGTAAGCTTTAGGGGGTGGGGATGGGGACACTTCTCTGTTTTGTTCCCCAGGACATGTCCAGCACCTGGAAGCAGGCCTGCAATGTTGCAGACTCAGGGCCTACTGTTGAATGAATGAAGGCTAGATACTGGGGCAGGGGGGTGTCTGGAGGAGTGTGGGTCCTCACTGTGGCTGTACAGAGAGTCTGTGCTGGGGAGCAATGAGGGGAGAGACCAGGAGGACAGCAGGGCAGGGGACAGGCCTAGAGGGCTTTCGATGTTCAGGGCTGTGGGGAGCCATGGAGGTTCTGTTTTTGTGTTATCAGGGGAGTGGGATGGGTTTCCAGGTGAGAAAGATGGCTCTGGTTGCAAGCAGGTGACAAATTGGAGGGGACCCAGAGTCTGCCTCTGCCCCCCACTGGGGGCTTTCTGCCCCAACTCTTCCCTTTCTAGCTGACCTTGGCACCCCGGTTCCTGCCAAACACCCTGATCAGTGTGGACTTCGCTGCCAACTATCTCACCAAGATCTACGGGCTCACTTTCGGCCAGAAGCCAAACTTGAGGTGAGAAATCAGACGGGGCCCTGGGCTCCAGCTGGGGAAGAAGGAGGAGCTGAGACACACACTCCCAGCCCTGAGCAAGGCGGAGAAAGCCCAGACAGGCCCTGGAGGAGGGGCATGCCGGGCAGGGCGGGCAGGATGCCCCCGGCTCAGCGCTGTGGTGGGGCTGCCCGGGCTGCAGGATCTGAAGGCTGAGAGGAATCTGTCCAGGAGACAAGATCAGAGAGTGATGTCTGCGGAACTGTGGGGAGCTGGGTGAGGGTTTTTCCCTCCTTCCCCAGCCCATGGGGGAAGGAAGCATCTTCCAACAGGCAGAGCCGGCCCTCAGTGAGAGCTGCTTTGGGAGGAGTGAGGCCTCCTAGCAGAGGTGTGTGAACAGGGCAGGGTGGTGCTAGGGGGTACTGACAACCCCCGGTGCTGATTCTGTCCCGTAATCTGTCACCTCACTTGATTGTCTCCATCCCCCAAAGGAGCCAGGGTCACTGTGTGTGGTCCCATCCCACCGATGAAAAGGCTGAGGCCCAAGAGAGGTCACACAGCAAGAATGAGTTATATCTTCCATGTTTAAATATCTTCTGTTTCTCTTATTTCTGGTCTTTGCTCCCTCTAGTATGTTAGCGGCATGGTGGCAGGGTCTTGTTGGTTGTGTCCACTGCTTATCTCTTCAGAGTCTAGAACAGTCCTGGCACATAGGGACATTCACTATATATTTGCTGAATGAATGAGAGGTCACCTCCTCTGAGCTGGGCCCTGTACTGGACACTTGAGACAAAGAGGTGGCAGGGACAGTCCCCATCTGTGGGAAGTTCCACAGAACTCAGAGCCAGCTGCGTGGAGTTGCCAGGCAGGGATCCAGAATCCTATTTCTGCCACTGAGGTGTGCGGCAGCCTTAGGTGGGTCCTTGGTCTCCTCGGCAGTGTAGGGGGGCACTGGATTAGGTGGGGTCTCAGGTTTTTCAAATGGGAAGAGGGTACTCTGGGCCCAGGCCCAGCCTGGGCCGGGTCTGAAGGCTCATCAGGTGAGCTGGTGGAGGGGGCCCAGGTGGGTGAGGACCTGTGCCTCATTCCCCAGGTCCGTGTACCTGCACAACAACAAGCTGGCGGATGCCGGGCTGCCGGACAACATGTTCAACGGCTCTAGCAACGTCGAGATCCTCATTCTGTCCAGCAACTTCCTGCGCCATGTGCCCAAGCACCTGCCGCCTGCCCTCTATAAGCTGCATCTCAAGGTGGGAGGGAGAGCATGGGGAGGGGCAGCAAAAGAGTAGGGACCTGCAGTGGGGGAAGAGCCCCGGTCCATTTAGGCCCAGTGGTGAGGCTGTGGGGCCTTGGGCACAGGCCAGAGGGCACAGTGTCCACTGTAGAGAATGAGGCAGAAGCCCAGGTACCTGGCTGTTGATATCACATGCAGAATGCTCCAGGCCTGGCCCTCCTCCCACGGCTCCCCAGGCCCATCTCCACATCTCATTCCAAGGCCCTGCCCTCACCCCTTGGCTGTCCCTCATGCTCCCCTCCCGACCATCCCACCCCTTAGAACAACAAGCTGGAGAAGATCCCACCAGGTGCCTTCAGTGAGCTGAGCAACCTGCGTGAGCTCTACCTGCAGAACAACTACTTGACTGACGAGGGCTTGGACAACGAAACCTTCTGGTGAGCCCCGCCTGGGCCCCCCATGGGAGCCCGGGACCCGGGAAGCAGCTCCCTGGGCCCAGCAGCCAGGGCCTCGCGCACACCCCCCCCCACCTGTCCCCAGCCAGCTTCCTGGAGAAGGAACTTTGGGGCTCGTGCCTCTGCTGACATTTCTGTCCCCGAGAATGAGCAATGTGTAGATAAAGCCAGCCAAATTTCCAGTGAGGCATCTTCAGAGGCTGGCTTCTTGGTACAAAGTTGAGACTGGAGTGTATTTGTTGAAGGCAAATGAATTTTCACTTTTTAGGCCCAGGGTGGCTACAAAAGGCCTTAAACAACTGGTCTTCAGAGAAGCTCCTTTGTGTCAGAAACCATGCTAGATTCTTCTGACACCGATACAGCGTTGAATCAACCCAAGGAGAGGCGGGAGAGGACTGAGGTCCCCTCGTGGGTCAGCCAGTGGTCGAGCTGGGATGAATTAGACGCAGTTCCCTTGCCGTCTCCCTCGGGAGGAATGATGGCAACAAGCACCACGTGGGCCCCCGCCAACCGTCCTCATCCCCCCCCCCCCCCCGCAGGAAGCTCTCCAGCCTGGAGTACCTTGATCTGTCCAGCAACAACCTGTCACGGGTCCCCGCGGGGCTGCCGCGCAGCCTGGTGCTCCTGCACCTGGAGAAGAACGCCATCCGGAGCGTGGACGCAGACGTGCTGACGCCCATCCGCAGCCTCGAGTACCTGCTGCTGCACAGCAACCAGCTGCACGCGCGCGGCATCCACCCTCGGGCGTTCCAGGGCCTCAAGCGGCTGCACACGGTGCACCTGTACAACAACGCGCTGGAGCGCGTGCCCAGTGGCCTGCCCCGCCGCGTGCGCACTCTCATGATCCTGCACAACCAGATCACCGGCATCGGCCGCGACGACTTCGCCACCACCTACTTCCTGGAGGAGCTCAACCTCAGCTACAACCGCATCACCAGCCCGCAGGTGCACCGCGATGCCTTCCGCAAGCTGCGCCTGCTGCGCTCGCTGGACCTGTCCGGTAACCGGCTGCACACCTTGCCACCCGGACTGCCGCGCAACGTGCATGTGCTGAAGGTCAAGCGCAACGAGCTGGCCGCCCTGGCACGCGGGGCGCTGGCCGGCATGGCCCAGCTGCGTGAGCTCTACCTCACCGGCAACCGGCTGCGCAGCCGGGCCCTGGGCCCCCGGGCCTGGGCCGACTTGGCCCATCTGCAGGTAAGGGGGAGGGTAAAGGGGCTGGGTCATGCCTTGTGGGGTGCGGCTGCCATGGCTGGCCCAAGCCCACCCATCGTGTGGGCTCAGCTGAAGGGTGGGTGGGAGGGCCTGGCCGTGGGGTGGGGGCTAGACCAGGAAACAGTCGGTATGGCTGGCATGCCAGGTGCAGCAGTGAGCGGCTGCTATGGCCAGGCTGAGCTCAGCACCTGCAGGAGGGCTGTGGGGATAAGGGGGGGGTCATGGCTGCAAGTAGGAGGCCCACGGTCCAGGAGGACGGGGGGCAAGTAGGGCCAGTGCGGGGGGGCACTGGAGAGTCAAGCTCACCCATCTGAAGGCTCAGGAACAGGTGGCTGGGAAAGGCTGGGCTTGGGGGAGGGGAGGGCCAAGGTCTGGGAGGCAGGCTGACCTCACAGGTGCCGAGGGCTGGGGGAGGCTACGTGAGGCATGCTGGGGCTGCTGAGTGGGTGTGGCTGCTGTGGCCACAGTCTGAGTCAGTTGGGGTATCTGGCTGTAAGTGAGGACCAAGAGGGAACTTGAGTAGAGAAATCTGGGAGGCAGGGCCTTGGTGCTGCAAGGTCAGGAAGTGCCCCCACTCTGCTGCACTACAGGGGGCGAGGGGGCCCCTTCCCCAAATGTATACCCCCCACCCCTGGACTTGCTCCTCCCTCTCTCTCAGGGCTCTGCTCAAATGTTACCTGCTTGAGAGGTCTTCCTTCACCAGCTATCACACCCCTGTGCTTTGTTTTTCTTCATAATCCTCATCCCTCGGGGCATTAGGTCATCTGTCTGCTTGTTTGTTGCTTGCCCTCCTGCTAGAATGAGGGGCAGGCATTTTAGTCTGTTGTGTTCACTGCTGGCCCCGGGAACCTCCATGTGGTAGGCTCACAGTACCTGTATTTTGGGAGAGCTGTCACGATGAGGATATCTGAGGGGAGTGCAGGGGTGAGCCCACAGAGTGGAGGGCGGGCAGGCAGGCGGGGCTCAGCCCTGAGGGCGGATCAGGGTGGGAGCTGGGGGTAGGCAGCTGGCCCTGCAGGAACAGCTAGCTGGGGTCTCTCCTCACCCAGATGGCCCTGCTCGAGGGCCAGACACCGGGATCCAGCTGCCTGGGCCAGGCCCTTGTGGATTGTCCTCAGGAGCCCAGATCCCATCGTCCTCTCCTCCACACCTGCTCCTCCTACTGCATTTTCTAACTCGCTGAAGGGGTGCCCACGGGAGACCTGGACGCTGCCCCTGACACCCCCTTTTCATACCACCTGCCCCCCAATACCCATTGTTACTGAACTCTGCCATTTCTACTGTCACACGTCTCAACTCACTTTTCTCCATCCCTACTGCCCATACTCCAAGCCAAGACACCCCCATTTCCATAGGAGCTCTCCACTCCTACATCTCATGTGCAGTTGGTGGGTATCTTGAAAAACACACGCTCACCTTCCAGTCCTGCTCAGAACCCTTCCATGGCTCCCCATTGCTCTTAGAACCCAGAGCAGAATCCTTGCCACAGTTCTCAGGGCTGGCCTGCTTCTGCTCCCAGCCAAGCTCCTTAGTCTCCCAGGCACACTGGGTGTCGCTCCTCCCGGCACTCCCCGCTGAAGCACAGCACCCTGCTAACACCTGCTCACTCCTTCGTTCCACAGCCTGTCTCGGGCCTCCACCATGTGCAGACTCTAGAACTGAGGACCTGGCAGGGAGTAAGACAGATGGAGGGTCACTACCCTCCTAGAGCTTGTCATATACCTAGGACTTAGTCTAGGTGTCACCTCCTTCAGGAAGCCCTCAGTGATGGGCAGGTGCGGCCTGGGTGACTTCAGTCAGTGATGAGGTGTCTGGTGGGGGGTTCTTCCTCACACTGTGGGATCTTTCTAAAGCAGCTGCTCCCCCTGCTTCAGAGCGCCCACCTGTGCTGGCTGCTGTACTCCCCTGACCCAACGCTGGGTCAGGCCCCTCCCCTGGGTCCCGTCCACACAGCCCAGTTCCACCAGCTGTCGTCAGATTTTGGGTCCACCCCTGCCCCCGGCCTCCGGTGGCAGAGGCAGCATCTCCATGGATTCCATATCCCTGGCACCTGTGGGCGCTGAGGATGTTTGGAATGAATGAGGAGGTGCCAGGGCTGTGTGGCGGGAGCACAGTGGGGAGCAGGGATTCCTGCTGGGTAAGGGAGGTGACGGGGAGGCTCTCCAAGGTGTGTAAAGCTTGTTTCCCCTTGAATCTTGAATCTCGATTCATGGTCCTTAGTTTCCTGACCCTGAGCCTCAGCCTGTCGGAGTGAGAAAGGGAGCTTAGAGATGATGGAACGCACCTGTGCCTGCACAGGAGCGAGTGTGTGCTGATGGCCTGAGGGGAAGGCAGGGAGCTGGGCCCATGCCCGTCCGGGTCTCCTGCCTACCTCTTGTTTGCTCCTCCCTGGGAAAACCACCCCATTTCCCTGGCCACCTGCTGCCGGCACTCTAGGCATATGCTGACCCCGAGACTGACCAGCCTAGGGCTGGCTGCCATGCCAGGGTCACTGTGGGCCTCAAAGCCTTGCTCCCAGCCCCTGCCCACATGGCCTCTGAAGTCCGTGAATGAGCAGCCTCACCCTCATCTGGGACCAGTGTGGGGATATTCAAAGACTGGAGGATCCCTGGCCTCTGCCCTTCTGGGGCCTTCAGTCTGATGGGGGTGACAGGCGTGCCAAGGAGGAGGGACTGTGCCACCCAGATATCTTGGCTGTGAATTCATGTGGAAAGGCAGAAGGAGCTGGGTAGGACATAGTTAGAACAAGGGTTTGGATTCCAGCCTCATGCAGACTGCGTGGCCTTGGACAGATCTCTTAACCTCTCTGAGCCTCTGTTTCCCCTCCTGGAAAATGGGGATAGTTCTAGATCCCACCTCACAGGGTTGTCATAAGATTTAGATAGACCAGGGAGTGGGTGGGATCTTTGCAAGACGTTAAGTGCTTTGACTCCCCTGGTCACTCATACAGCTGCTGGACATCGCTGGGAATCAACTCACAGAGATCCCTGAGGGGCTCCCTGAGTCCCTCGAGTACCTATACCTGCAGAACAACAAGATTAGCACCGTGCCCGCCAATGCCTTCGACTCCACACCCAACCTCAAAGGGATCTTTCTCAGGTAGGAGGGCCCCCGGGTCAGCCTGGGTCAACCTGGCTCTAGCAGGATCGCTGAGGCATCCGGGAACAGCTCCCAGGTAGAGGTCGGTGTTCGAAGCCTGGCTTCACTGACGGGCTGTGTGACCATGGGTACATCCCACACCCCCCTCCGCCTCTGTTTCCTCGGCTCTCAAGGGTGGGGACAGTCCGGCCAGGCCTGGTGAGGTTTATAGGTTTGTAAAAGGACTTCAGAAACTTTAACTAGCTGTGCGTGTGGGCGTTACTGATGTTACTGTGGCAGGAGGGCGTACCAGAGAGTGCGGGTGACTGCCGTGTCCACAGCTGGCCAGGATTGAGCCTGGGCCTCAGATGGCAGATGTTCAGGTCCTCGCTGAGCTGTGGGGTTTAGAATGTACTTTTTACTTTATTTTATTTTTTTAAAGAGAGAGAGGGAGAGGGGAGAAGGACAAAGGGAGAGAGGGAGAATCTTAAGCGTGCTCCATGCCCAGCATGGAGCCCGAGGTGGGGCTCTATCTCACGACCCTGAGATCCTGACCTGAGCCAAAATCAAGAGTTCGGCGCTTAACTGACTGAGCCACCCAGGCGCCCCTAGAATGATTTTAATGGGGGAGCCAACTCCCCAGGACAGCAGAGTCAGGGTGGTTCTTCCCAACGTCCTACCTGACCACCCCCTTGACTCAGAGAGAAGGGGCAGATTCGAGAAGGCAGAATGTGACCTGCAGGGGATTGGTGGCTGGGTTGGGATAGAGTGTGAGCTATGCCTTGGCTCCTGTGGGGGACTAAGGCACAAAGAGTTGAGGGGCCTGATGTCAGAGCCCAGCCTCTGCCACCCCTTAGCCCGAGTGCCACCCTGGCCCAGCTTGACCATGGCCTTGCCTGTGTACCACTCCGTACCAGGCAACTCTAGGCTGGCAACCCTGGAGCCCCAGGCCTTTGGGTTATTCCCAGAGGGAGGTAATCCCAGGCAGAGAGGAGGCGCCCACGTCTGCCCCTCCCAAATCTTGGAGCATTTGCAGATGGGGGCCTGCCCCTCACTGTAGGAGATGAGTGGCCCAGGGTCTGCCCCGCCCCCCCCCAAGCTATAGCCACACCGCACAGCGGGGACTGACACGACGCACCTTGCTTCCCAGCACTGCCCGCCTCCCGGCCCTGCACCGCCTTTGTGCGTACTCTGCCCTCTTCCTGGAGAGCTTGTTCCCCGTCTCCCTGCTGGGGTGGGTGGGGGTGGGGGCGCTGGGGGTCAGGCCTCTGGCACTGACCGCACGTGGTGGCCCGCACAGGTTTAACAAGCTGGCCGCGGGCTCCGTGGTGGAAAGCGCCTTCCGGAGGCTGACGCACCTGCAGGTCTTGGACATAGAAGGCAACTTTGAGTTCGGTGACGTGCCCAAGGACCGGGGCCGGTTGGAAGGGGACGACGACGAGGACGACGAGGAGGACGACGTCGGGGAGGACTAGGGGAGGCGGTGGTGACAGGGCGAACCGATGTGACGTAGGTAGGTGGTCTGTGTGGGGGCGCACTGACCTCTCCCCACCAGCTCCTGTCCCTGGCCCCGGTATGGGCCCTGGGTGAGGGGCTGGCAAGCCGGTGGGAGGCCGGCACGGGCTGGGGACTCTCCCAGGCGATGAGCACCCCGATGTGACATGCGCAGGGGCTGGCACGGTGGAAGCAGGGAGTGGGTGTGGGTGCCCAGGAGAAGGCTGCTGCTGTGAGCCAAGCCGCAGGCGAGGGGGGAGGCAGCGAGGATGCACACAAGGAGATGGCCTGAAGGGGGTGGGGGAGGGACAGGCAGACTCCAGAGGCCAGGTTCGTCCTGCCGGGCATGGGATGAGGGAGAAGACAAGCCCCCACACCTAGCCTGGAATCCCGGGAGGATGGGAGCCCCTGGGGGAGCAGATCTGTTGAGGTGGCAGTAATGTTGAGTTAGATAGGCTGGGGGGGTGCCCAGGCGGCTGCCCAGGGGTGGGCCAGATATGTGAGTCTGGGGGCCAGAGAGTGAGGTCTAGCCTGGAGATGGGGGTCCAGCCATCATCAGCCTAGAAATAGTCACAAGGCCACAGGAGGCTCGGGGAGCTCACTTGGGGAGAGTGTGAGGCCATGGCCAGCTGCAGGGGAGCCTGCAGAAGGGGCTGGAGGGAAGCAGAGTGGGAAGGAGGTAGGAAAACCCCAGGCAGCCAAGGACAGAGGGAGATTATGTGCATGTGCAAAACAAACACCCCACGTGGGCATATGGTGCACACACATGTACCCATGCTTACACGTGTGTCTAAACACGCATACACTCGGGGCACCTGGGTGGCTCAGATGGTTCAGCGTCTGCCTTCAGCTGGGGTCATGACCCCGGGGTCCTGGGATTGAGTCCCACATCGGGCTCCCTGCTGAGCCAGGAGCCTGCTTCTCCCTCTCCCTCTACCTGCCGCTCCCCCTGCTTGTGCTCGCTCTCTCTCTAATAAAAAAATTAAAAATCTTTAAAAAAAAAAATAAACACGCATACACTTGCACAGAGCACGCACTTACAGAACTCATAGCGCACACAGACACACATGCATGTGCTCCATGGAACATTCACAAGTGCAGAACAGGTACATGCTTGCACACGCGTGGAGGATGCATGCATGTCACTACACACGGCATCCCCGTGCACAAGGCCCTTGTGGAGAGAGCAGCCGTGTTAGTGCTGCTGAGAGGCAGGTGGAGGGAGCCCTAGCAAGGACCCACCAGATTTGTCCACGAGGAGCTCAGCTGTGACCTTGTGGGGGAGTGGCCTCAAGGGCAGCAGGGGTGGAGAAAGGAGCTGGCAAGGAGAGACCCCGCAGAGCGTACATACCTCTCTCAAGAAGTTTGGCTATGAAGAGAGGGGATGAGAGGGTGGCAGGGGGACGGGGTTGCGAAGTTTGGGTGGGGCTCCATTTAGCTCGCACCCTGTTCAGAAACAGAGCCGGTTGGAGCGCTGATGGGGCGGGGCTGGCCTGGAGCGGGGGTTAAAGACGGGACAGAGGAGAGAGGCGAGCAGGGCGAAGCTAGCCCCGTAGAGACAGTAGGAGCGACTGGCTTTGGCAGGAGGGTCAGTGCCTCCACGGGGGCAGGAGGGACGGAGGACCGAGTGGCTGCAGTCACACACAGCTTAGTGGCTTGGTGGCTGGACATGCAGTCCTATCAGCCTGATGCCTTCAGCCTTCTGTTTTCTCTGTGCAGCAGGAGGCGCTCGGCTGACCGGGGTGGGTGTGGAGAAGATGGGCCATTGGATCCATCCGTGGCGGGGTTTTTGGCCAGGTGTGTGGGACAGAAGGGTAAGGAATGAGGATGTTGAGCGTATTGGCAAGCGAATGACTGCAGTTGGGGACCCCGGGGGTCAGTCTGGGAAGGGAAGGATGTGTAGACAGGAGGGTGGGTGGGCAGGGCCTCTGGAGAGGGACGTCGGAGAGTGGGCACCGTGTGGTGAGTAGCCGGGAGGAGAGCTGTGGTCAGAACGAGCTGAGCTGGTGGGGTCACAGGGTCAGCCTGTGACCATGGGAAGGGGCCCCCCGGGCCACTGTTAGGACTCTGACTTGAAGTAGGGGGGCTTGGGTCAGAGAGGAGACTGCAGGGTGGCGGTGAGGACCCCATGGGGAGATGACAGAGGGAGGTGAGGCTGACAGAAGGATGTGCATGGGGGCATTATCTTAGCTCGGACGGAGAACAGACCCAGAGGCCGTGCTTGGGAGTCCCCTTCCCCCTGCTGCCGGGGCCCCAGGGGTGAAGGTGGAGACCTCCTCTCTAGACACTGTCCTCAGGCAGAGCCGGGGGTCAGGGAGGGGAGTGAACAGCTGTTCAGTGAGGATGCTCTGGCCCTCCTGAGGGGGCTGTGGAGTCCTGGGATGGGGGAGAATCTGCCCCCTCTGGAGGCCATTGGCCTCAGGCACGTCTGTTGGGGGGGCGCCTGGGAGGGGCCCTGGGGAGTGGCCAGAGGCTAGTCGATACCAGGCCTGGCCAGTCAAGTTATAACATTGCCCAGTGGGTGGCCTGCTGGCTCTGGGCCCCCAGGGGCAACTCCCCCTCCCGCCTGCAGTGGCCTGGCCCTCCCAGAGTCCCCTGGGGGGGCCTCCTAGCTCGAGCCCACCTTCCCAAAGCTGGCAGGTCTGCCCCTGACTCTTCCACATGTTCTGCAGGACAACGGACCACCGGACCCCCTTCTGCAGCACGTACCTGTGCCCTGTGAGCCCCGGTCGGCCATGCTCACAGACACACCCAGTGCCGCCCCCACCAGCCACCCACCACCACACAGGCTGAGCACACAGTCTCCCATCCCCACCCGTTCCTGCAGCGCCCTCAGCCACACATGGGCAGGCACCACGACACGTCCACACACTGCAGGCTGCACGGTGGCCACCGAACAGTTCCACTCCCCTCCCAGGCCCTCCATCTCCATCATGCCCCTGGACTCATGCAGACTCGGGGAAGGGTCTGACCCTGCCCTGGCTCCCACGGGTGCCTGCTCCCTTTACCATGACCTCCCCCCCCAACACACACACAAGTCACATGCAGACAGCCCTCTGTGGCCCCTGCCACCAACACCTCTTGCCCCAGCCAGAACTGGCCAGAACAGCTTGCCATCTGCTCAGCCGTCTGTCCATCCGTCCACTGGAGAAGACAGAGTTATCTTGGTGCTCTCTGTGGCCAGGGGCCCGCCACCCTCTGGAACTCACAGAAGCTGACTGTTGTTTCTGTTCCCCCCTTTGGGACTGCTGCCCTGGCCCCCAGCCGCTGGGGCGGTCACTCCCTGCCATGCCCCGGCCGGCCACAGGCACGTCTTTGATGGGAATCCCACCAAGCCCGGAGGGAAAGTCTCCTGGGGCGCCTGGGGCCTTGGGCAGGAGTGAGGTGGAGGGGCAGGGCTAAGCAAGGAGGAAGGGCCCAGCTGCCCTGATGACATACCTTTTTATTCTTTGGGCCTGTGGGGAGTTCTGGGTGCCTTTGGACTTTGAATTCTTTTTTAAAAAAAAATGATAAAAAAAACCCAAAAAACCTCAAAGCTGATTTTTCTTGTTACAGAAAAACTAATATAAAAGCATTACCCCTTTCTGGCAGCCCGTGGCCGTGTCTGTGTGTGCTTCCTGTCAGGTGCTGGGCCGGCGCCTGGCTGGGGGTGGGCAGGACACAAGCACCTCAGGGCCTGTCCAGACTGGCAGGAGTCGGCGCAGAGTTTAGCTGTTGGGCCCATAAGTCATGTCACAGGCCGAGGTCCAGGGGTGTGGGGTTTAGTCACAGGTAGGGAGGCCTGAGGCATGTGTGGCCCGTCTGCTCGGTGGGGGTCAGCAGGTCCAGCCAGGACCACCACACGGGGCTTGTGAGCTCACTCTGCACTTCCAGAGGCTGAGCATCTGAGCAGAGGACCTCCCAGCTTTGGGCTACTCAGGCTCACCCGGAGGACCGCCTGCGCCCTGAGCGGGCATCACTGATGGGGGTGTCCCCAGGACGGCTGGGATGGGAAAGAGCCTGCAGGCAGGCCCGAGAGCTAGAGCAGAGTCTCCTTGGGGGCCCAGGTCTTTGCAGGCCTGCCCAGGGAAGAAATGACGGACATGTCTAGTGCTCCCACCACCCCCAGCAAGGCCAGAGCTGGAACTGGGAGGGGCAGCACCTGGCTCAGAGCAAAGCAGAAACTCTGACGAGCAGAGCCGCCCCACAGTGGATGAGACGCCCAGGAAGCAGTGTCCTCCCGCTCCTGGAGGTGTGTAAGCATGCTCCTGTCGAGCCCAGTAAAGAGCAGATTCCTGCCTTGGGGTGGGCCAGGATCCACTGCTCAAAGGGCCTTAGAGATGTGAC